AGCACCCTGGCAGGATCCTTCACAGAAGAGGCACCACAGTAGACAATGACCTGAACATTAAATCTCCCCGCAGCTCCTCATGCAGCAGGGACATTGGGGCAGCAGGGATGAGCAGCACCTGGATGGCTGCTGGAGCTGGATGTGATTCCCTTGGCCCCCCCTTTCTACCAACATTTCAAGGAGGACAGATGGCCTTGGAGCTACAGAACATTTCTGGGTCTGTAAATCCATTCCTCGTCTCAGAAGCTGATTGATCCTTTTTTTTAAACTCAAATTCAATGTTTAAGAGTAATGATTTCCAAGTGAACACAGAGTGGCTCAGATATATCGGCAGTTTTTATGGATCAGAAGCAAAAGCCTTAAATCAGACCTTAATGAAGAGAAACATGTCTGTCCCCTTCTCAGAACAACGGCAGGGGCTGATGGCAGTGCAAAAAACCTTGCATAGGTGATGCCCAGTGATTTATCCCAGAACATGGGCCAACTGGGATGTTCCCACAGAGATGTCCTTGGGATGCAGGCAAACTTACTGGTGATATTCTGCAACCCAACCCCAATCCAATTCTGAATCAAACACCTGGAAAAGCAGAAAGCAGAAGAGATCCCATGGGACTCAGGCAAGGGGGAAGAATAGCCCTGTTTTCTCCTCAGCAAAGGAGCATTAGAGGCACCAAAAGCTGACAGGCTCAGAAATAATGGTTTGAGATCACTCTTGTTTAAAAACCACTGCCTGCTGTTTTCATTGCAAGCCCTGCTCTGACTTGCAGAAATATTTTAAATTAAATATACATAAGTGCTTTCAAAGAACTGTTAATTTGAAGGTCATTAAATGGCATAAAATACATTCCCTTTTTTTTTTCTGGAAAGAGGCACGTAATTATGCCATTAATACATGCTCTTCTTCCACATTCAAGCCTCAGAGATGCAAGGGGCTTGGGTTCACCTTTCCTGGCAGAGGCACCACATCTCCTTTTAATTACTGTCGTTGAGAAGCCTGCTGCTCCTCCATCACACCCAGGGATGGGGCTGCGGAAAAAGCATGGAAAAGCCCCAGGGGAGAACAATGCAGCTGAATTGCAAATGGGGATTTTTGGGGGTTGAGGGAAGTAACAGTGGGGCTGGAAATGTGGAGCCACTTGGCAACACCCAGTCCAGTTGTGAGGATCCTGCCCACTGATTCTCACACAAGACCTTGGGCCAAGCTCAGAGCAGGGGTTTGGTAGCCAAAAGTCTCTTTTTCAATTTAACACTCTATGTGAAAAGGATAAAGCAAACCCAGACACACACAAAAAAAAACCCTAAAAAGACACAAAAGGGTTGAGGTTTTTACAGTTGCCATAGAAATGGAGAGAAGGAGCTGATGACTGCAGAGCACAAAGTGAAAGGCCAGGATCAGGGGCAAGGGTGAGGTGGGCTCACCCGGGCATGCAGCCTCATCCATGCATGGATATTCATGTGGGATGCAGCCAAAGGAGCAAGGCACTGTGACTGAGCTTCACTCAGGAGCAGTGGCAGCAGTCAGGATCCACCCCAGCAATGCCCCCCCAACACAGAAACCCATCAGGACCCCGTGTGATGGATAGAGCCCAGCCCAAAAGAAAGGCCTGTGCAATGGGTCCTCTTTGATCCAAAACTCCCTTTTCTTTCCTTTAAACCATAACTCTGCAGGGAGAAAACAGCTTCTGAGCCATCCCTTCTCCTCTGTGATCAAAGAAAGGAAGTCCAACACCAACCAGCGTGGATCGGAAGATGTGAAATTGGAATGTTCATCTTTAGACCAAGGAAGAGACTCTCACCAGAGTAGGAGCAAAAGAACAGCATCAAAGAGCTGCCACCCAAGTCACGGTGAGAGTCTCTTCTTTGGCATCTGACAAAGGAAAAGGAGGAACAGGTCAAACACAATGCTGCTGCCATGGCCAGGCAGGGACAGCACTGTCACTTCCAGACAGAAAGGCTTCACAGTTTGGAAAATTGATTTTATGTGAAAGAAAGGCCTCTAAAGTAACAGAATGGTCTGTCAGAAATCATCTGAAATTTGTATGCTGTTTTTTTTTCAATAAAAAGCAACAACCAAACATGGCTATTTTGGATTTTCCCCTTTGTTTTCCACTAAGAGACTGATGGCCTTTCATGAAATCTTTTGGCTGGGATGAAGCGATTTTCATTGAAAGGCAAGAGAACAGGTGGCCCATGGTGACCCTCCCTCAAGCAATTCCCTTGGCCCATGATGGCTCTTCGCTGCAGGGATTTGTCTGAGCCCACCTGCTTGCTCTTTGCTCTGCCCAGAGCACCACCAGTCTGCTGCTGGGCTCTTGCATGACCCTGGAGGGGACACATACAGGTCCCAGCACAAGGCCAAGATGTGGAGACAGCTGGTTAGGAGTGGTGGCATATGGGAATCATCTGCTCTGACACAGCTCAGGAGACATCAGGTGTTGGACAGCTGGGAAAGGGCAACAGAATGGAAAGTCCACCAGCCCTGGCAATGCCCAGGGGCACTGCTGGTGGCCCAGAGTCAAGGAGCATCATCCACCCTGGGAAATTGAACCAAGATAGTCTTGGCATCTCTGATAGCACCTGAGCACCCAGACAGCCTGTTCGACCCCTCAGGGGTACTTGGCCTGCTGGGTGGGATGGGCAGGACTGAATGATTCACATTTCATATTCACAATGAAATGGCCTCAAGCTGTGCCAGGGGAGGTTCAAGTTGGACACCAGGAAGAATTTCTTCACTGAAAGAGTGATTAAACATTGGAATGGGAGGTGGTGGAATGCCCATCCTTTGAGATGTTGAAGGAACGGTGGATATGGCACCCAGTTCTCTGGACTGGTTGACACGGTGGGGATCAGTCACAGGTTGGACTCAATGTTCTCAGAGATCCATTCTCATGCCATGACACTGTGGTTCTGTATTAAAGGGCTGCTGTGGTGTGCTGGGGCAAGGACAGCACGGAGCCGGCAGCAGCAGCTGCCTCGCAGGTGCTCGCAGGGCTGGCAACAGCAGCAGGGGAGCCATAAAGGTGCAGTATTGATATTTAGCCTGTGTGCCTGTCACTCGTTCCTTTAAACGCCTTTAGCTTCCTTCTAATAAAAGAGAAATCATAAAAAAACCCACAAAGGGCCCGTCAGTGCCAGCGAATACCAATGTGGCGGGGTGGCGCATTAGCATGCGCGGCGCCCGCTCCATCTGCATGTTGTGTTCCGTGTGACAACATCCCAGAATGCAGATTTGGGCCGCCAACATCCCGAGAGGTATTAGCAATCGTCTATCAGACAGGAAGAAGAGCAGTCCCTGCTGTTGTAAACAAGGGGGGTTTTTCTCTGCTTCTTTCTCTGGGGGGAGTTCAGTGAATTGAAACAAGCTCATTCCTGCATCCTGTTAGTTCTTGTTCTTCAGCAGAGCACAGGTCATCTGCCTTGGGCACTGGAGGAAAAAAACTGGAGGTGCAGAGAGCACCTCAAAAGGTCCTTCAGCTGCTGGTGGTGATGAACCATGAGCATGAACGTGTTCCTCATGAACCACCACGAACTGAACATGTGCTCCTCACAGGATACACAGGGGTCCACCCAACCACAGAGGACCTTAACAGCCCCAACACAGGAGGAACAGTGTTCCCACTCAGGAGATGTGCACAAGTGCTGGCAGCAAGCAGAGAACAGTGGCAGCAAGCAAATCTGGTGAGGCATCTCCAGGCATAGATGAGAATAAGATGGGGCAGATGGACATGGAGCAATGCCATGGTGTAGCTGGATATGGGCAGCCCCATGGCAAAGAGAGACATGGGGAAAAACCACAGGCCAGGTGGGCGTGAGCCATCCTCACAGCACTGAGGGACACAGGACATCACCTCAGCACAGACAGACATGGGCTGAGAAGTAAAGCAGCCCCTATAACACAGCTGGACACGGGGCATCCCTGTGGCTCAGGAACACCCCCAGGAGATGGATGGATGCAGGATGTCCCCACAGCACTAGCAGATGTGGAGTATTGCCATAGTGATGATGGAAGATGAGAGGGATGGAGGGTGAGTGAGGAGGACAGAGGATCTCAGTGTATGTATGAGCCACCACACCACCAAATCCCAGCTGGGACCTGCAGCCCCTGAGGCACAGCCAGCCCGTGCCACTGCTCTGCCACCCACGGCACAGCGCCAGCGAGAGCGCCGTGATGGATCTCTGCAACTCACACACAGCCCTCTAAGTAAAAGCCTTATTAGGAGTTCATTCATTTCATAAACTCCTGGGGCGATCCACAGGGGGAAGTCAGATGGCCCAGCCTTACAATATTCTGAGTAAACACTGACCCGTGTTGGGCAATTTTTACCAGATCAATTTGCCTAGGAGAACAGTGGATGAACAAAAAAAAAAAAAAGAATAATAAAGATCAAATTAAATATGGGGAAACATCAACTAAGAGAGGCTATAAAGAAGAGCAGAAAAATACAAAGCAGGACGGATGGATGGACAGAGACACACAAAACACTCAGACCTACCTCTGAAGCCATGAAACCTAAGTCCGTAAATCAATATCAAAATCCTTAGGTCCACAAGATGGGGGAAAAAGTCCTCCATAGCCATCTTCCAGACATCACTGAGGCCCTGGAGGCCTGAGCAGTCCACTTCCCAGAGCAACTCTCCTCCTCCAGCAGCCACCAACCCAGTCACAGCCACTGGCTCCTCCAGTCCCGTCCCATCCCCACAGTGCCGGCCGGCCCTTGGCATCCTCCTCCCCAGGTGCAGGATGCCGAGCACTTCCTTCATCACCAGGTGCTTCCAGGCTGCCTCCTGCCCCTGGGGGCTGTGGGTACAACCCCTGGCCCCCGGGGTCAGGGACCGGCCGGCCGCTGGCTGCAGGGTCAGCGCTGCTCTTCGGTCATGGACAAGCAGTGAGTCCACGGAAGGTTGACAACATACACAGGCGCACGAGCGCGCGCACACACACACACGGGAACACCTCTTTCCATTTTCCAGGATGGAGAGTTTGTTGTGTTTTTTTTAATCCTTTTTTTCCTTTTTGCAAAAAAAATGCAAGCAAAAGAGAAAAAAAAAACAAAACCCAAGGTTTTCTATTGAAGGTACATCTCTTCTTCAATATGAAGACATTAACTGGATTGAGTCGGATCCCCCATGCAGTGGTCAGCGAAGTCCTTTGGTAGTTGCCAGAGTGGCACCCGGGTGGGATGACAGGGAGCTGCAGAGACATCTGAGGACACTTCCACCCAGACCGTGAGCAGAGAGGGGAGCAGGGTGAGCCAGGAGGGCTGGGGCAGGGAGGAAGGGCAAAAGAAGAAAAAGGAAGGTGTTTCCTCTGGACAGGATGCTCCATCTCATGCCTCTCCCTTCCCCAACAGCCCCTTCCTCCTTCTCAGTTTCGACCACTGCTCACTGGTGGCGGGATTGGAGTCTGGTCTCTAGGGTTTGGGTTTGTTTCCCCAACGCACATTGGTTTGTCTTCATTGTTTTCTATGTTTTTTTCATTTTGCTTTGCTTTTTAAATATATGATTTGTACATATTTATATGTATTTATACGCTGTCCCCCATGACATTGGTAAGTGTGCTTCTGTTGGTGAGGAACGAAGTCACCAGTCAGAGGTGAGTCCCAGGAACATCCTTTGGCTGCAGTCGCAGTCCCCAGGCAGCGGCGGCTCCTCTCCCAGCGCTGCCCCGCCTCAGTTCCTCCCCTCCCACCTCTGCCCTCCGCTGCGCGCCCTCCCCACGAACAAGGGACGTCATGCCATCGAGGTGGGAGACTGGCTCATCTGTACTCGCATGGACTGGACGCTGTTCAGGATCTTCTTCTGGTGCCCAGCCAAAGTCACCCCTATTCTCAGGAGGTCTCTGGAAGAGAGACAGACAGAGGAAGGTCAACGGCCAGCTGAGGGTGGTGCACCTGTTTTGCTATTGCTAAGGGAGGTGAGCTCAGCTGGAACATCCACAGGGCCCAAGCATGGCCCCATAAGCATCACTGAGAGCAAGGCGACATCCACACATTGACCCCCAAATAGTGAATGTGGCCACTTCCAGACACTGGTGACCAATGTAAGGGATGCTCACACCAGTCCTTTGCCCTGAACTGACCTCCCCCCCTCCCCAGCTGGGCAGCACCCTGCTTTCACGCAGCCCTGGCACGGCCAACTCACTCGGATGTCATCTGGGCCACCAGCTGCAGGGAGGTGAAGCCAGCAGTCAGGAAGCTGTCCCGGTACTGGCTCATCTTCACAGCGCTCAGCCAGTCGTCTACTGAGGTAAAGGCAGTGAAGTCGGGGATGGAGCGGTCGAGGAGGGGCTGAGAAGGCCTGAAACAGGACACACCGCTGGTGACACACCTGGCTGGCACCGAGGGCTGCCCTTCCTGAACCCAGCCAGTACAGGGACACACTCCCCAGTCCACCCCCAGTATCCCTGTGCTCCCCCCAGCACACACCCATGAAGGCCATGAGGAAGACTGCCGTGCCAAGCAGCGCTTTGCAAGCTCACATGTATTCCAGCTGCAGGAGCCACAGGGATGAGGCATCAGCAGAGCAGCCACCACACCCAAATGGCCACACACCATAAAGAATCAATAGCAAAGAATGACTGCTGTTGCTTGGCTGAAAACTGCATGTTCTTTGTCTGACTGTCAGGCAGAGTGAAGGCAGAGCCCCCCTGCCCCCATCTAAGGATTTATGAATTCTCGAGCCGCTCAGGAAGCGGAATCAGGAGTGGGATGGTGGCAGGGAGCATCCCCACGCCCAGCACTCACACAGCGGTGATGGTCGCCACAGTTTTGAGGCTTGCTGGGTTGCGGATCATTTTGTCGAGGGTGTTGACGATCTCGGTGAAGCGCGGGCGGGTGTTGCGGTCCTTCTGCCAGCAGTCCAGCATCAGCTGGTGCAGGGCGGCCGGGCAGTCCATGGGCGGCGGGAGCCGGTAGTCCTGCTCGATGGCGTTGATGACCTGAGGATGGATGAGTGAGGGGGAGAGAGGATGAAGGACTCGGGGAGCTCCCTGAGCTGCCTGTGCAGGTAGAAGGGCTGCAGGCAGCCGGGGAGGGACAGCCAGCCCGGCTGATCAGCAGCAGAGGGAGCGGGAGGAGCCGGGTGCTCGCCGAGGTTAATCTCCGCTCTGATGCTCCGCGGCTGCAGTTCCTCCCAGCAGAGAGCTGCCACTCATTATCTCGGCAGATCTCGCCGGAGTACAGCAGTCACACTTCCAAAGCTCCTTCCCTGCTCATAAACCCTCTGAACATTTTCAAAGGCCCTGCAGCTTGCTGAAGTCCAATTACCAGCCCACTGGCTTTTCTTTCCAATTTCCCTCCTTGCATCCTCTCACTCACCAACCTGTTTCATCTCCAAACCGAGCGCTCCTGAGGCTCCAGGAAGGAGCAGAGAGCCCTTCAGGCAGGGATTTCTTTTTGGAATGAGCACCCCCTGGCCCCCAGAGCAGTGTGGATGACCCCCAGTGCTTACATCTTGGTTGGACATGTCCCAGTAGGGCCTCTCCCCGAACGACATCACCTCCCACATGACGATGCCGTAGCTCCAGACGTCGCTGGCCGAGGTGAACTTGCGGTAGGCGATGGCCTCCGGCGCTGTCCACCTGACAGGGATCTTGCCCCCCTACAGAAAAAGGGACTTCAGCTGAGAAATGACTTCCTAGGCAGAGGAGGCTGGATGCTCACAAGCCAGGGTTGGGGCCATCCCACACACCCCAAACCTTGGGTCCCTGGGGACCCCACCAAGGAGCAGGCAGGTGGCACCTGATGGGATGAGGAGGCAGGAGCCAAGAACAACTGCATGAATCTATCTTGTACCTTCCTAAAATGGCTTAGCTGAATGAAACAAATGGGTTTAGCCAAGGATTTACCCCACTGACTGACACCAGCCCACCCCAGCACATCAGTGGCCTGTCCCCAGGTCCCTTCCCAGGTAGTCGCCAGGTGACAAGGCCAAGCACAACTGGGCTAGTGCTTGTCACAGGTGAGGAGCCACAGGCATCCCCATCCCTTGGCCTTCAGTGGAAACAAGGCTGAGCTAAAGGCATCCTCTACAGATTCGTCTGGGCTCCCACAACTGCTAGAAGGTCCTTCCAGCCCTACTGTTGGAGTGGAAGGCAAAAAGCAAAACACCTTTAAAACCCAATGGAAAGCACTGGTGTAGCGAAGTGCCTTTGGCAGAGAGCTCCTCATTTCTCCCAAAGGCTCCAAATCAGGCTCAGCATCTCAAGCCAAGCCAGGGCAGGTTCTAGGGCCAAAGGCCATGCCAAGGGCTCAGGGATGTGAGGAGGGACAGCACGCACAGAGGGATTGCTCCCTGGGAAAGCTCCATAAAATAACCACACAAAAAGCCAAGGGATAAGGAAAACCACAGACATGCCACGGGAATTTTGTGGGGGCAGGACTGCACTGCGAATCGTTCAGCACAATGATTTTCCATAGCCTTTCCGAGGACGCGTCAGCTGCTCTTGAAGGATGAATGGCAAAAAATTTGATTTGAATAACTACAAATGGAGAAATTAACTGCTAGGTTGTTTTTCCTGCCTTTTCCCCAGAGCAAAAAGCCTGCTGTGGGAGGCAGAGTGATGCAATCGCAGGCACAGCATCACTTCCCAGCTGCTGGGGAGATCTATTATGGCCTAAATTAAATAAAAACACAGATGAGATAATCTCTTTTTATCTCTGAAGGTGGGGAAAAGACTAATTCATGCCTCATCTCAGCAGCTACCGCTGGGGTCTTTGAAGGAAAAATAAAAGCCGGGTGTCTGCTCAAAGGCTGCTGCCTGCAGGAAGGGTCTGGGCAGGGAGCGGGGCAGGTCTGGGGGGAACAGGAACATCCCATTGAGCAGGGGAGGGACAGTGAGGGGCTGCAACTGGGCCAAAACATTGAGTCAGCCTTAAAGGCACATCCCTGGCTTTCCCATTTTGGCAGCTGGAGCCAGCCCTGGCACTTGGGCGAAGATCTGCATTGGCAGCAGCTGGTGCAGCCTCGTGCCGGCACCCACCGCACACTCTTTTATTAATCCATTAGATGAGGCCAGCGAGCTGCTCATCCCTTCCCCCTCTGATCACCCTTAACACCTCTCAGGGGCTCACAAGCAGGACAATGGCCACGGTGGGGAGCTGGGGGTCCCCTGGGGTAGCCAGGAACACCAGGAGAAGAGATCCGCCCTTACCTACAAAAGAGTTAATTAAAGAGGAGAATGGTGGCTGGGGAATGGCAGAGCTCCTGTTAGGCTTGTCTCTTTAATTTATGCTTGCAACAGGTTTCCAGCAGGGAAAAGCAGACCAGACCTGGAGCACTGGGGGAAGGGGAGTTAAACCTCTCCTGGGGGAGGGAGCATCATTGCTGTGCTTCCAGGAGTTGCTGTGATCTCCCTGCCTCCCACTCCTGTCTCTCCAGGGACTCCTCTGCACCTTTCCTCCACAGAGGAGAGGGAAGAGGCTTATCTGGAAACTGCAGAAGGCAGAACGGTGCTTAGGGAGGAGGGAGGTGGAAACCTTCTAAAAAGGAGGAAGAGAAAGGATAATTTGTGAAAACTACAGCCTGGACTTCTGGACCATGAGCCTATGTGGTGGGAACATGAGGTACCCCCACCCATGGCAGACTGTACATCCAGCACCCTTCTCCCAGGTTCAGCAGGTACAGGGCACAGGGAATGCTGGGCAGGAGGACATCCTGCAGGAGGCACCTACCAAGGAGCTGGTGTAGGTGGGGTCAGACGTATCGTCCTGCAGGTAGCGCGAGAGGCCGAAGTCAGACACTTTGCACACCAGGTTGCTGTTGACCAGGATGTTCCTGGCAGCCAGATCTCGATGCACATAATTCATCTCTGCCAGGTACTTCATCCCAGCAGCAATCCCTCTGAGCATTCCCACCAGCTGGATCACTGTGAACTGCCCATCGTTTTGCTGCGAGCAGAAAGAGCAGGCACTGGGGTGAGCATGCAGAGCCCACAGTGGGATCAGGGCCACTCACCCTGACCTCAGGAGGATGCTGCACCTTCCCAGAGAGCTCCAGCTGCCCTGTCTGATTACAGAAGAGGTAAGCACCCCAAAAGACATATTCGGGAGATGTATGGCACACTCCAGCCAGCTCCCAAACTAAGCAAACAGGCTGGGATTTACAAACAGGACACCAACATCTCATTCCCTCATCCCACAGCCCACGTGGCCCCGCCTCATGGGGCATCACAGCACCACTTCCCAGCTGCCAGGGAGATCTGTAAAGGCCTGAATTACCCGCAGGAACGAGTCCAAGGCCCCGTTCTCCATGAACTCGGTGATGATCATGACCGGCCGGCTCTTGGTGACCACCCCTTCCAGGCGAATGATGTTGGGGTGGTCGAACTGGCCCATGATGCTGGCCTCGCTCAGGAAATCGCGGCGCTGCTTCTCCGAGTACCCGGCCTTCAGTGTCTTGATAGCCACGTAGATCTCCCGCTTGCCTGGCAACTTCAGGCGCCCTTTATACACCTCTCCAAACTCCCCTGCGAGCGCAAGATGGAATTAGGTTCCTCATTTAGGTTGGAAAAGACCTCCAAGATCACCAAGTCCAGCCTTTGATCAATCAACACCAGAGCTACCTCCTCCTCCTCCTCCTCCTCCTCCTCCACACTAAACATTGCAAAGAGCAAGGAGTCTTCACCCAGCTGAGAAATGGCAGCCAATTCACACTTCAACAACACTCTCCTCTACAAATCTGCTCTCCTGTCCTCTTTAAAAGGGCCAGTGTCTGCTGCTGGGGACATGTTTAGGTTTGCAACCTTCTCCAAGGTGACAGAGCCTAACATTGACACAGGCAGAGGCTGCATCTGCCTGTGCAAACCCCCACAAGGAGGATTTGCAGGGAAAGTGCATCCCCATTTAAGGACTACCTCAAATATCAGGTGTCTGTATTGTTAATCTCGGCTGCCTTTCTGCACATCACTTATCTTGGGGTGGGAAATAATTGGGCTGTTTACATTGCTGCTCTCTGATTTAAAATACAGGGAATTCAGGAGAGCTTTCACTTCACCAAAGCAAAATTTGCCTGTGGAGGAATTATATTTAAGCCATGTTTGCAGCCACTTTGCCTTGATGAGCAGCAAAGGCCAGGTGACACATTGCTGAACTTGATCCCAAACAAACTGACTCATTGCTTCCTCAAAGCTTCCCCTCCCCAGCTTCTCACTTTCTCCTCCAAGAGTATGACACAGTTATTTAAAAATGGCAATAAAACAGCACAGATCACACACACACGTGTGTGTGTGTGTGTGTGTGTGTGTGTGTGTGTGTGTGTGTGTGTATATATGTAGGGGAGCATGGCTCAGACTACAGTGAGGTCAAGCTTTTCTTGTTATCTCATGGAAAATCCCAAGAGGCCCCATGGTCAGCCAGTGAATACATTCCTGGAGCCTTTCCCACCTCAGAGGAACTTTGAAAGCGTGAAACAACCTCACATCCACCCTAACCCACCACAAATCCAGGAAAGCCTGATGTTTCAAGGCTTCACTGAGGCCTTCCAGGTGAAGGACTGTGTGTGCTCCCCCATAAAGTTTCTCCAGGTGGGTGCACAGCCACACAGGAGCAGCAGAGAGGGCAAGGAAGGATGGGGAGCAGGACACACAGAGACCCACCTGCCCCAATGACTTCTTCAATCTTCACAAAGGACACATCGATCTCCTTGGCGAACTCTCGGACGGCTTCATTGGGGTCCTCGTAGGTGAAGGGGTCGATGTAGATCTTCATCCCTGGAGACCCTTGTTACAGGGAAGGCAGGAAGAACAGCAAAAGGGAGAGAATTACAAAAAAAGAGTTAACAGAATTGTTTGGGTTGGAAGGAGCTCAAAGTTTACTCCATACCATCCCTCATGAGCAGGGACACCCTCACAGCCTCTTCTAAAACCACTTTGCTCCAAGCCCCATCCAACCTGGCCTTGAACAATGCCAGGTACAGTGGATCCCCACCGTCTCTGGGCAGCCTGGAAAACAAGAGCAGTTGTACCATGGCCCAGAACTGGAGACCCTTCTGTCCTCACACTCTCCACTAAGTGGCCACTATCACTGTACTCACCTACACCACTCCCACAGACCCTTATCATTCCCTTTGGGCCACCAATTCACCCAACTCTCCCCTGCACCTCCTCCTCTCCCTCTCTGCCCTCCACTCCCCTGACATTATCCTTCCTCTTTCTCCTCCATGGCGATGGGAGCAGTTACAGACCTGAACTACAGCATGCTGCCTTCACAGTGAAGGCTTTACGAGGCTCCACGCGTTAGTGAAGAAACATTTATTTACCCAAAAAGGCCTCTGATGGCTTTGTGGCAGCTACTAAATTGACAGAGTGCAGCAATTATAACAACAACTGCTATGGATCCGTGAAATACGGCTTGGCCGGGCGCCGGGACACGCCTGCGGTCCCTCGCCCGGGGCAATGTGTGGCCACAAGATCTGGCCACGCTGCAGGGACACGCAGGAAGTGGGCTCTTGCCCTTTTCCAAGGGGGAAAAACCAAAAATATTTCCCCAGATTTCCCAAAGGGGTTTGCAGATGTCACGTTTGGATGGCAGGGGCTTACAGAGCTGACAAGGGCACGGTGGTGAGGCACAGTGAAGACACAGGGCTCAGCTGGCACCAGTGCTGTAGTGCCACCCAAAAGGGACCTACAACAGGCTGTGGCATCCCCCAGGGTGGATGGGGGCAGTCAGCTTCCTGTGCCATTTCTCACCCAAAAAGGGGGCTGTGGATGACATAGCAGCCCCTCAAGGTCATCTCTGGAGAAGACCAGGAGGGACATTGCTGCCTGGTCCCTTCCCCAAGGTACTTCACCTTTATAGGGATTAACATCCTTCAGTTACACTGTTCAGGACCTTTCCTAGGCCATGATCCCATCACACCAGTGCTTCCCAGAGTCCCCCCAGACCCAGCATACAGATGGATGCATGGACAACAGCATCACTTCTGCACTAGGAATCTAAATCAGCTCCCAGCTGTGAAATAACTCAGGAGGATGCATGAAAGCCTCACAGTGGGCACTGCTGGTGCCAAACAGCCACCAGGAGAGAGCTGTGGGGCATTGAGGACTCAGGAAGGACCAGGCAGCAGCATCCTCACCCCTAAAAGGGGCCTTTGGGGCAGAAGTTCTGCACCTCAGAGGCAGAGGAGGCTGCAATGAAGCCATCTGTGCATCTCCCAGTTCATAAATCCCTTTATGGCTCTGTCTCATACACTTTAACTGCCCCATAAATTCTTTTACAAGAGCAGCTGATGCTCCAGCCAGGATTACAAAGGGATTTACAGGATCGTAACGGAGACTAGCTCACGGATCAAAATATTGAAAGAATAGAGGAGAAAACAATGCCCAAGTTTCCTGTTTCCTGTCAACGCAGGCTGGTTTTTAAACACCCTCTGATGTATTCATAGGCTCAGTAATCACCAGGATGAACTCCCGCCTCATCCTCATCCCATCCAAATGAGGAATTGGGGACCTAAACCCACTCCTCATCTCTGCCAACATCAGCCCCTGGCTCACCGTTCCCACACCAGCAAAGGCTGGGTGAAATTCCAGGTACTGGAGCACACCACCAAAGGCAGCCATGGTGAGCCCACCTGCAAAGAGCTTTGTACTCTTAAAATCATCCCAAGAATCCTGAAAACTGGATTAAGTCACTTTTCACTACTGCAGACAAGGGCAAATCTTTTATCACTCTGTGAAAGTTGAAGCGCTCTGCACCACGACCCTGACTCCAGCGGCCAATTCCTTCTGGCATCTTGTTTCCTTGGCAATAAATATCATGGGGACAGAGAAGAACACTTCCTGCTGATTTGCTGGTGCTTCAAAAGGGGATTTTTCCTATTTCCCCAGTCTCAAAGCTCCCAGTAAAGCCATGGAAGGGATAAACCACAAAAATTTACACTCCAAGAGACCCCATCACACCCCAAAATCCACTTGGAGTGCTCTACCAGCAGCCGGTGATCCCAGGGGGATGCTGGAGGGATGGCAGAGCTGTGCTGGGAGGCTGTAATTGCTGTGCCACTGAACACATGGTGATTTGTTCCAGAGGATGCTCTCATTTCTCCATTAGTTGCTCACCACAAATTTCCCACCTGTTTTGCTCCAGCCTCTGCATTGACAGAGTGCCCAGAGGCTCACTAACCTTGACAGGGTATTGCTGGCACCCTGGATTTCTGATGCCAGTCATCACAGCCCCCAGGTTTAGAAACAAAGGACAGGCACATGCTTCAATTGCTTCCCTACCTAGGTTGAGCATCCTGGATTTTGGGCTGCCTGGGATGTGCAGTAGGGAATGCTTCAAAACAGGGGGAAATTGTGAAATGTGAAAATTCAGTCTGTCTGCAGCCTGATTTGAGTTTATCCATCGGGCATCAAATTAACCTTGCCCTGCCCCCCACAGTGCAGCAACATGGAGGAAAGAGGGAGGAAAAGCACAGGTTTGTCATCACCCAGTGATGTTTGAAAAACAGTTTCTTGTTTGACAGGAGGTTCAGGGCCCCCCAAAGTACTGCCACCACATTGGGAGGGTTCAGTGTGATGCCGAGAGGGTCTAAAGAGATCCAGTGTGCTTTGCTCTCTTGGCTGGGCTCTCCTTCTTATCTCCACTCCCTCTTCAGCTCTCTCCAGCCCTCCTGTTCTTCTCAGTCAGGCCGATTGCTCCATCCTCATTCCTCCCCTCTGCTCACCCATACTGCTCCCTGCCTTCCCCACCCATCCTTCCTCCATCCCTGCACCCCACACCTCTTTCCCTCAGGGAGGCACCCAGGACCAAGATGGTTCTTCCCACAAGCAAACTGAGAAGCAACTCTAGGAGAGCATAAATGGGATTTTCATCCCACAGGGATGAGGCATGGAACCAGTGGACACCAGGAAAATCCTGGCCCCCAAAGCTGCTGCTTTGCTGCTGTATTTTCATTTGCAGTGCTGGCTGCTGGAGGGGCACCAGAGCAGACATTACACACAAATACACCAGGAATTAGTTCTGGTGCACAGCTCCACCAGCCAGAGATCTCCTAGGAAAGGCTCAGGCTCTCCTCTAATTGTTTGCCAAGAGGATCAGCAGCCCAAAGCCAGTTAAACATTCCCAGTCACTGGCTGCACATCCTTCCCAGAGCAAGGTACAGAGCAAACACCAGCCACACAGCCAGGACAGCAGTAATGCCAGCAACCCCAACCATGCCCCCAAAATCCAGAATCCCTGTAACAGCTCAGCATCCATCCAGACCCAGGCAGAGCCTGTGGCAGGAGATCAAGGGGATCTTCTGAACTTGTGAACACCACCCTTCTCCCTTCTTTCCTCCTTTGGGAGTTTTCACAGCATTCTCTCCCCATCCTTTGTCCCCTACACCCCCCCTGCCCCTGATATACCCCCAAATCCATCATCATTCCCCAGATCCCTCCTGGTACTCTTCCACCCACAGTTCTGCACCACTGCAGCCTGCCCTCCCCCACACCCTGACAGGCACAAGTGGACATCTCCCCTGTGATCCTGTCCATCTGCCATGGGGCTCCCAGCACACCGCAGTCCCCTTGGAAGGGGAGGAGTGGGGCACTGCCGGGTGCAGGTTTGGGAGCTTCTCCCATCTGCTTTTCCCCCCTTCCCTGCTCACCTCTGCCGGTGCTGTAGTGCTGGAGTTTGTCACTGTACACCGCCTCCTTGCTGTAGGCACGCTTCCTGGGGGAACAGGGGAGACAACAGCCAGGCTTCAGGCATCAGCAGCTGCTGGTGGCCCCGGGTTGCTCCTCTGCCACCAACACCCCACGAGCAGTGGCATCATGCTGCTCCCTCTGGCCACGTTGGTCCCCCATCCCACCCCTAATCTGCACCTTACCACCTCCACCTTCCAGGGATACTGATCCACGGGGACCCACCTGCTGCAGACGATGGAAATGGCCACCAGGGAGACGATGAAGACCACCCCGGCCGCTGCAGACCCCGCGATCAGGGGCAGCTGCTCTCTCAGCTCTGACTTGTAATCGTCTGCGAGAGAGGAGGGATGGGGTCAATCCTCCCTGGCATGCTCATGGAGTGGGAGCAGCCTTTGGGAAGGGATCCCCTCTGATTCCAAGGGTGCAGCTCCCAAGGCAGTGGGACAAGGAGGATCAGGCAAGGGGATCAGCTGAGGCAGGGGATGAGCCAGTGCCCTGTTGCACTGGGTAGCACTGTCATGCTTGGCTCACACACCTTTGGCTTAAAGACAGGAGAGAGAAGATTCTGGAAATCATGTCAGACCAATGTGCGTGGGCCCAGTTTCCCAAAGAGATGAGGTTCACAAGGGGGCTTTGTCCATGGCTTTGGCATTTCCCATTCATCAAAAAATCCATTTCTTGAGCAACCTGATTTACCAGAAGGTGTCTCTGCACATGGCAGGGGGCTGGAACAAGATGAGTTTTAGGGTCCCTTCCAACCCAAACCTTTTTGAGACTCTATGATTTAAATCTGTTGGCCAATTTGACCGATTTTAACTTGGGGTCTCACAGATACAAAATTCCTACAAGTTGTAGGAAAGGAGGAGAACACCATTAATAACCAAGCCAGCCAGAGAATGCTGTGCCAAGACTTCACCCACATCAGACATCGGAGAGTTCACACAAATGATATCCAAGTTCATACAATGGTGAACTTTGGGAGTGAGGCTCAGGAGACCCTAGGAACCCTCACCACAGGTCTGCTTGTAGGTTTTAATATCTCAACATTTGCAGAGCCATGGCACCCACAAGCATCCCTTCCTCACCAAGCATCCCTTGGAACCTCCTTTGTCTGCTCAGCCACTCCCTGCATCCTTCAGCAGCAGGCCATGGTGGCACCAGGAGGACTGGATATGTCTGGGGGAACCCCCAGAAAGCTACTGGCACCCTCCCTGTGTCTCCCCCATCAGTGGTGTGGGTATTCTCAACAGGCAGCATCCAGCAGATCCCACATTCCTGGGGCTTCTGTAGCATTCCAGAAATACGCTTCTCTCCAATTGCCCCATTGAGGTCTGCCAGGCTGTGCCAGCAGCCACATGCAAGGGTTAAAATAAAACTTACCCAAAATAAAGCATTTAGCACTCTTTTATCTGTATTTTCTACTCTGCAGTTAATTACTGGCACCTAGATTTATCTCTTGCATGCTGCTTAAATCCTGAGAAATTCTCATCTAACAATCAATTATTATTTAATAAGCTACACAATCCATTCTTATTAAATTTCAATTAATTGCTTATTTGAGGCAGGATTTTTCTTCTTGCTTCTCTAATCCTGAATTTTTGAGGCATTGGAGGGGGGTTTATTACCATTTCCTTCCCTTTGGTCACCCAGCATGGTTTTCCTCTTCCCACCCCAGCTGGCACTCGACATTAATGCATGCTTGGGGTGACCCGTTTTAGGCAAGAAGAAAAGCTTTAGGAAAGAAGAAAAGCTTTAGGAAAGACAGGCAGTGAGGCTGGGAGCCATGGATGTCACCTAAGCCAGCAGCAGCAGGGAACAGGCTCTCAGCTGCCCCAGGGGTAGGAGGATGTAGTGGTTTTGGTTCGCCAATTTAAGATTTCCCTGATTAAAAAATGCCTCTAAATTCACTAATTTCACTTCCCTAAATTTCCTCCCATTCCAAACCATGACACAGGACCTGCTTTACTCACCAACTTCTAGATAACTCCTGAAGCTGGGATTTATGGAAAACATTCCCATGAGTTAGTAGCTTCTAAAGGAAGGCGGTGTTGTGGGTGCAGGAAAGGGCTGAGGCCAGAAGAAGCCATGAAGGTGATGAGCTGACCCAACACACCCCTTTGGCATGGGAGATCAGCTTTCAATGGGTCTGACCATCCCAGCTGTGCCCTGATGGCTCGGATGGACTCCAAGTATCCCAGGAAAACATCCCAGAGTCCTTCCTCCAAGGGACTACAACCCTCCCTCATGCCAGAATCACAGCTGGTGCCAGAGGCTTCTGTCCCCGCAGCTCAAGGCAGCAGAGACAGAAATAAACAGCGGGGAAAGCCTGGAGCCAGGAGAGCGAGGGCGGATCGCTCCTCCCGCGGGCGGCTACCGAGACACCGCCGTAACCCCCGGCTCCCGCCACGCTGCCCTGGCACAGGGGCTGGGCTGTGCAGACCAGCTCCTTCCATCCCCCAGAGCAGGAGGCCGGGCTGGAGGCACGCCGCGCCGCACTCACCGTCGGTGAGGGTCTGGAAGCACATCTTGCCGCTGTACTTGCCGTAGCCGGCCACGGTGCGGGCGCGCACCTGCACCACGTAGACCATGCCGGGCCGCAGCCCCTCCAGGCGCGCCGTGTTGGTCTGGCTGCGCGCCATGGACGAGTTGTACTCGTTGTGGTCCTGCGGGCACCCCAGAGAGCCACCGTCAGCGGGACAGGACAGGGGACAGCGGGAGGACAGTGGGAACGCAGCCCAGCTGTCCCTGTTGAGGGCAGGATGGGGTTCGGCTGCAGGGGGATAAGGGAGAGGCTCTGCTTCTGCTTCAGAAGCGTTCCTGACCCAGGGGATCCCACAGGAAAGGCTAGAAGAATTGGGATTGCTCAGCCTGGAGAAGGCTTTGGGGTGACCTAATAGTGGCCTTCCAGTACCAGAAGGGAGCTACAAGAAAGATAGGGATGGACTATTTATAAGGACCTGGAGTGACAGGACAAGGGGGAATGGCTTTCCACTGCCAGAGATACATTTAGGTTGGATATTCAGAAGAGAGTCTCCCTGTGAGGGTGGGAAGGCCCTGACACAGGTTGCCCAGAGAAGCTGTGTCTGCCCCATCCCTGGGAGTGTCCAAGGCCAGGATGGATGGGGCTTAGAGCAATCTGGTGTAGTGGAAGGTGTCCCTGCTTATGGCAGGGGGTGGAACAGGATGAGCTTCAAGGTCCCTTCAACCCAGGACATTCTATGATTTTATGAAACAGGACCCACAAGGAACTGGGGAGGCCCCTGCTGCATGTGCCTCCCAGGCAGCCCCTTGGTCCCACCAGAGCAGGGAGCATGGAGTAGCAGAGGGAAACAATAAGATCATCCATAGTAAAAATAACTTATGAACAACAGATTCCTCCTCTTCAAATGATTGACATCCTTGTGCATTTCAGAAACATCCCACAGTAATGGAAACCTGGTGTCCCTGCCCACACTACAGGGGTTGGAACTGAAAGAGATCTTAAAAGTCTCTTCCAACTCAAACCATTCTGTGATTCCACTAAACACTAAATGTGCCCTATGAGACCCTGCCCAAGCAGGTTCAAGAGCAGCTCTCTGCTGAGATCCCCAGCCCCTGCAGTCCTGCTCTGCTGCCACAGGTCCTTGGCCTAAACCTTGCTGGAAACCTCATGTCGGTGTCTCCACTGTCATTTTTTACCACGTTCCCCAATGCTTTGCTGGTAAGAGGCCGCTGGTGAGATCATCTAATTATTCATACTTAGAGGAATTCATTAGGGCTGGCGAGACACAGCAGAGATGGAACAGCTTGGGCCAGGCACGGTTCATTGCAGGGGTTGGAAGTGTGTCCCCTGCAGGACAGGACAGCTGCCAGGGACAGGACCAGTGGTAGGCAGTGACCCAGGGCAGGTCCATAACTTTCCCTGGTCCTCCCCAACCCCCTCCCCTCCTCCTGATGCTATCCCCATGATTCAGGTCCCTGCTCACCCTACCAAATACCAGAGCCAAGGCAGCCACAGCCACTGCTGTGCTGGCTGAATGCTGCCACGGGGAAGGAATGGCTCAGGCTGGACAGGGCTCTGAGCAACCCGATCTAGTGAGAGGTGTCCTATGGCAGGGGGTTGGAACTAGATGAGCTTTACGGTCCTTTCCAACTCAAGCTGCTCTGCGATTCTGATTCTGGGATGTAGCATCTGCAGTCACAACTCACTCCCACCTTCTGGATGCAGCTGGGGCGAGCTGGTGCCCATCCTACCTGACCATTCCCAGCAGAGCCTGTCTCAGAGCCCACTGATGGTGCCCTTGCCCCCATGCCCCCAGCCCAGCCCCCACGGCAGGGCTCCCTGGGCTCACCGGGGCCGGCCTGGAGCCCACGGTGCTGCCGACGTCGGGCGTGCAGATGCGGCTCAGCTTCTCGTAGTAGCGGATCTCGTAGTCCAGGATGATCCCATTGGGCTGCTCAGGCTGGGGCCAGGACAGCGTGATGCTCCTCATGGTGGCACTCACCTGGTGCATGATGGGCACGGTGGAGGGGGCTGCCGAGGAAGCAGGGAGCGAGGGAAAATTAATGGAGAGGGCTAGGAAAAATGGCCTTGAGAGGGGGGAAAATCCTCACAGCATCCCAAATCTCCCATGCCTGTGGTTGGCTTCCCCATGGGAGCAGCTCACTCATTAGCAGTGGGAAGACCGGCATCTTAGCAGCTTTATATGGAAGCAGAACAGCAAGTCACTGAGGGAATTCTGCAATTTAAACCAACTACTCCTTTTAATTAGGGGCTTGGAAATCCTTGGTGTTCCTTCTCCCTGGGACTGCTTGCTCCAAGGATGTCTCCCATGGTGAGAGGAACACAGCAAAACTCTCCCCAGCAGGGCAAAAGAAGGTTTGGTGACTGGGTCCAGCTCTGTGTGACATCTTTTGCTGTAACAGCCTCTCTGGGGAGCCAGCACTCAGCACCCAGGGAGCTGTGCCACAACTGCCACCCCACATGCTCTCAGAAATGGGATGTGGGAGCAAAAATCTCCCCACCCTGAGAACAGTGACATGGAACCAGGGCAGGGACACCCCAGCCCAGCCTTGGCTCCAGAGAAGCTGCTGGGGCTACTCTTAGGGGCTCTTAGGGGATGCTCATCCTCAGCACCCAGTTGTGCTTCTCCCAGGAAAACAGCAACACTGTCCTTCCACCACTGGGGACAATCAGCCACTAAATCAGTCAGGAGACCCTTTTCCAAATGCTTTGTGCCCTCCAAGCTATACTTATACAGGGAGAGCCAGCCAATATAGCCCTAATCCTGCACTTAATCCTATCAAAAGAAAGGCATCCAAGCCTGTCCACAGCCTAGGGGGCACTGGCATGTCCTGTGTGCAGAGTCAGCTCCCAGTCCAGCCATCTCTGCCCTCTTCCTCCTCCTCACCATGCCTACAGTAAGGGCAGTGCTGGGCAGGGAAAATGCCTCCCCTGCGTAAATCCAGGAAATACCTGAACCCAGCACAACCAGCCGGGGGCACAGGCATGGAGGGAATCTGGGGGTGGCAGGAGCCCTGTTTCTCATGGTTCCAATGGAAGATGTGGATAGTTCAGCACTGCCTTTGTTTACCCAGATTATTTAATCCTATATATTTTTTTTAATCTCTCCACATCTGGTCCAGGAAGATGCTCATGGACTGAAATTAAGCACTCAGATTGACTGCTGTTTTATTAACTCCCATTAGTTTGGATGGGGCTGGGAAAATGGTTGGAAAAAAACGCTGCAAAGCCAAAGATATTTCAGAGGGAGAGCACCAATGCCATGGATATCCCTGGTGCATTTCCATCAGGTGACCCCACAGCCCAACATTTCCATTTTTGTAATCAGCCTTTGCATGACAAACAGGGACCACTGGGGTACAGACAGACAGATCAGGGTCACCTGGCTGTTCTCAGCTCCCCATGGTGGGAGAAGAGCTAAGAAACACCCAAAAATCCACCCTTTTTTCTCCTGAAAAAAATGGCCTAGAAACAAGAGACAGGTTTGGCTGCACGTGGTTCAGCAGGCAGCAATGCCAGCCAGGCACAAGTGTAGATTTGTATTCCCTGGAGCCAGGAGACTGAAATATTTACACTGGTTTACACTGAAATATTTACACTGAAGTATTTACACCAGGTTTCTCAATTGTGCTATCCAGAGGGAGCAGGATGGCGAAGGCTGCCTGCCCTGGCACAAAGCAGGAATTCCCATTCCCTTTTTAAACCCAGAGCACGTGAGTTTCCATCCCCTCTGATCCTCAGTGCAGCCCAGGACCAGTGTCCCCCTTGCCATCTGCACACCCACCCCCCCAGTATCCCTGTTTGACCCAGAGCTGCTCATTCAGCTCCTGATGCCTGACTGGGGACAGGAAAGGGAGCAGGGGAGCCTGGAAAAAGAGACGAGGAAAATGATGGGAGAGGGATGTGCCAGAGGAGACAGAGTCTGGACTCAGCCCTGGGATGCTGCTCCCTCTGTGCTGTAACACAGTCAGACTGTTATTTCAAGGCTGGATTCACCCCATCTCCCTTCTCCCAACTGGAAAAATGGTGATGCCATTTCATCCCCAAGCAATCTAGAGAGGGATAAAAGCAGGTATCAGATTGATATTATTCCACAAGCCAACTCTCATCCTGCCCAGGGCACAGGAAACCCTTCCCTATCCTCATTCCTTTTCCCCCCCTCTTCTGGCCTTTCTCCCCGCTCAGGGCTGGGAACCCCACAGCCATCACACAGCCTCACACCCCGGGAGCTTTTCCTTTTGGGCACGGAGCTTGCAGCCGGCGGCGGGGCAGCCACACTCCCGGCACCACGCGGCGCTCACCGGCCTGGTTGGTGGTGATGTTGACGGAGACGTGCTGCTGCGGGAAGGGGCTCTTGCTGGACACGCCGTTGACCGCCTGGATCTCGAAGGTGTAGGGGGTGTGAGCCCAGAGGTTGCTGATGAAGACGCGGGTGTCGGTGAGCCCCAGCTGGCGGGGCACGAAGTCCACGTTGTCGTCGCAGCGGGAGCAGGCGCGCCGGTCCGAGCGGCACTTCTTGCAGACGATGTTGTAGGTGACGTCGTCCCGGCCGCCCGTCTCCCGCGGCGGGTGCCACTCCAGGATGATGGATGTCTCGTTGACGATGGAGATGACGTTGCGAGGCCCGGATGGGACACCTGTGGGAAAGGAGAGGCGCTGAGACGGGTCCTTGCCCTTCCCTGGAGGCTCCAGCGCAGAGGAGGACACCCCAGGGCTCTGCACTATTCATCACCTCCTCCTTGAGGAGGGATTTGGTGTCCACAGCTTTGTTTAGGCTCAGGGTCAGACTTCCCACACTGGCAACACCGACCACTTGCACTGCAAACAAGTTTCCCAGATGGAGATGACAACTCCCATGCCGCAAACCCACTTAAGCCTCCAAAAAAACTTCATGTGGAATGCACACAGATCCATCCATGAAGCTGGACCCCTTTTAATCCCACTAGGAGATGCTGAGATAACTGCAGTGCTCACATGGAGAAGCAGATTATCCCAGCAAGGGAAAAATCACTTAGCCAGCACCATGGAGAACCAGAGAAGGAGCAGGAGAAGAGAGAGTCAAAAATGGAAAGTGGTTATTAAGGGTTCAATATCTCAAGTTGGAAACCCAGGAATTTCAGGAATTTCCCAGCATGGAGGAAAGCCAGCACCAATCTATGGTTTGCAAGCAGCTCCCATGTTGGACAAGAGATGAAAATTGCATTGATCAAAGCTGCCAGCAGCCATTGCAAATACTTCAGAGGATGGGAATTGAACACAAATCCAATTGCAACACTGCTGGATCAGGGCTGCAGTCCGTTCAGGAGGAACCCAGGAGAGCAGCACTGAGGTACAAACACACAACTGCACAGATCCAGGGAAGGATTTGGTGTCAGCAAGGACGGCTCTGCAGCCAAAACCACAAAATTCAGCTGCTTGGTTATATTAAATAAGGGAAGCAAGGAATTCCTGATGTTGGTTGGGCTGGGGCCTGCACTTCCAAGAAAGAAAAAGGACTTTGCCATGATACAGGGAGCAATAAAAATGATGGAGGATTTGACCTTCAAGGAAAGGTTAAGAGAGAGAAGCACACTCTGTCTTGGGGAAACCCATCCCACAGGAGCCCTCCTCATGTATGTGCCAGAGAAGATCATTAGGGCTGTGGATAAATCAGCCCTGTTAGTGGCCAGGGATGGGCTGGACAGGGACAGATCCATCAGCACCATGGTGACATGGCTGATGGGAGGGAGAGGTCATTCTGCATGGAGACACTCCGGGAGCCTCTCTAAGCTGCAGCAGTGGATAATGCAGATGAAAGATTTTGTTCAAATGCCCAGAGAAATAACAGCTTTAAAAAAAAAAAAATTAAGATAATAGAATTCCAATCCCTTTAACCCTTTTCCTCTTTATGAGTAGAAGTGTCTGTTGTGGAGCAGCCATCAGTGCAGCCTCCTTCCTGGAAAGGGCTTTCCTGTACCTGAGGCACCACAGCATTGTCAGGCTGTCCCATGGCAGAGATGCCACAGAGAGTTTACAGGAGGGTTGTAGGGGCCACAGCAGGGGCAGGAGCAGAGAGAAGAACCTTGGTTCCCCAGGGGAACAAGACTGCAGGACTCACAAAGGCTCAATGGGATCAATATCAGTTACCCCCAGAAATCTGCAACCTGTCTTTCACAAGCCTTGATCCAAATCCTCCCTCCATACCTTAAGCAGTTAATACTTTTTCAAGAAAAAGGAAAAAAACCCACATTTCCTCCATTTCCCAGTAGCAAACTGCTGCCTCCCCAAATTCCTCCCACTTTAATTGCAGCCCCTTCCTTCCTCCACAGGGGCCCAGGAACTGCAGGGATCACCCTTGGAAGGGTTCCAGTCCAGGGCACTGCCAGCAGCTCCACAATGTTATGTACTCCTCTGACACAGAGAAACTTTGTGGGTGAACAGATGGCACCTCAGATTGGAGCACTACAAAATCAAGCACTGACGAGAGGAAATAAAATCAGTAGAGACTTTTTTCCTGTACTCTTATAGCACAGCACGGTTGTAAATCAGTTCTGTAATGAGGCATAATAAAGATCTGTAGATTATCTGTAGTTGTGCAACCTGCTGAATACCTGTATGAGAGCTCAGGTGATCCAGCAAAACACACAAATCCTTTCCTTGTTTCCTTGACGTGTGCTTTGGGCACTTCCCAGCATGGAGGGTCCGGAGCATCCGTGTGCTAAAGCTCCGTGATAGGCTGGCTCAAGGGCCTGCAGTGTATCTGGGAGGGGAGTTGAGGCCTGAGTTTCCAGCAGGATGAAGAGCACAGCAGCTCTTTCCTCTCTCCTGGGCTCTCTTCCCACCAAAAGACAGGCTTGAGGACACTGCTGCCGTGCCAGGCAGCTCGGGCAGGCAGCCGAGCAGCGACGCATCGCTGAATACCAATGCTTAATGCAGCCTTCCCCCTATTAAAAAATACTCCATCTGCAAGACTATGAACAAGACAGCCAGAGCAGATAACTTTAAATCCTAATTTATCCTGGGGACTATCTCCCTGCCATCACCGCCGCTGCCCGGGTGATGTATAAATTCCAGAGGCTGCCAGTGAGGCGGGACGTGGGGCCATCCCATCCCTCTGCCTTGCCCGCCCAGCCGCGCTCCTGCTGCCATCCACAGTGGGACAGGGGGAGAAGATAAAGCAAGGTGGATTGAGACTTTAGCCCTGCTGCTGCCTGGAGGGAGGGGAGAGGCTGCAGCCCCAGGCCCAGCCCTGTACTCACTGGTGCAGGCGGCGGCCGGCGGGTCGAAGTCTGCCCGGTAGTAGCCGTTGCGGCAGGCGCAGAGCGGCGAGGCCTCGGCGGTGGAGCGGCTGTTCGGGGGGCACGGCACGCACGGCCCCGCGCCCTGGCTGGCCTTGAACGTCCCTGCAGGGCAGGCTGCAAGAGAGAGCAGAGCAGCTGGGTCCTGAGCTGTTCCAGGACACAGGGGAAAGCAGGTCCTGTCCTTGGAATGGGGTGGAAAGGAAGGAGGGGAGAGGAGACACAGAAAAGCTTCAGATTTGTAAATGGCGTAGCACCTTCCCATGGATCTAGGATGGCCAGAATTTTTCATGTTGGCTGTGGATTATTCCTGAAGCTACTAGACAAACACTGCAACCACATGGCAACAATCTTTAGCCAGGCAGAGCAAGGGGTTGCGGTAGCTGCTTTGCTCCCTACTGCTTGTACCCCACCAGGGGTAAGGCAGGGGGCTGTGGGACCCCCAGCCCCAGCAGCACCCGTGGGGATATGGACAAGCAGGGGCAGGACAGCGCTCCTCTTCTCCTAATCGGTCCCTCTCCACCACCAAAAGCCCAGCTCAGTTCCCACAGCTCTTTTTTAATGCAAAATTTAAATATTTAATTAAAGAGTCGGTGTGACGCCCATGACAGTGTGTTATGGGTCCATCCTGTTCATCCCCCACAGCCCGGGGCTGGAGCTTCCCAGCCTCTGAGTTCATTCAAGCAGGAAATGGCATCTAATTCATAATGGAGAGGATGTTCCAGTTACAGTGAGGGTTTAATCAGCCACAGGGGAGGTTTCATTAATCAACCATCTCACTGCTCTGTGGAGAGAGGGCGAGGATGGAGTGACAGGGATGGGGTCCCTCATCTCCGCCCCACCCCACCCATCATCACCAACGGGCACTGATGAATGGATGCTCATCCATCCCTGACATCCAACAAAATCTGATGGAACCAAAGGCTGCAGAAGGGAATATCTGTATTTTGGCACATGCACCCAAGGGATCAGACTTCCAGCTAGCCCAGGAGAGACTGGTCCTGGCCTCACACCAGGGTGGTCCCAGCCCTGTCTGGCTCCTGACCCTGCCCCTGTGATGCCATCCCCCCCGAGGCACAGCTCTGCAGAGAAACACCCGACGTGTCTCATAAACACGGCGATGATTGAGATAATGGAAAGTGCCTCTTAGCCCCTGTCTGCTGCATCAGGATATGAGGCATCTCCTAGCAGCCATGAAGAGGAAATTAATAGGAGCAAGCAGGAGTAACCACTTTGATGCAATTTCCTTGGGAGATAGTGGACCATCTAATCTTTATTGGAGCCCTTTAACCTGTCATTCAAAACTCATGAAGGCCTCCTGCTCACACAGCCTTCCCAGATATTAACAGATGATAGAAAAGAATAAATCAAAACAATATTTTACAATTTTATTATTCAGAAGATTTCCACCCCCCCACACACCCAGCCTGAGGCACACAACTGGCTGCAATGAACTGTCTCTTTCCAGTGGCTCTGACAGCTGGGTGGGGATGTGACATTCCAAAGGAACCAGCCACCATCTCCCACTGCCCTTCCTTTTCCCCATCAGAGGACTGCCGAGTCCTCCACATCCCACCACAGCCATCCCATGAATGTGGCATCTTAAGGAAGGCTCGGGGCCATAATCCAGCACCTCATGCAGTGGGCAGTGAGACACACAAGGTCACCATGCAGTCCAGAGGGTTTGAGGAGACCTTCAGGATGCTCCACAGCAGAAGGCAGAGGGATGCAGACCCTTCCCCAATACACACACAGCACAAGGAGGCACAGAGTTACACAGACACACAGGGCAGGACACAAAACCACAAATGGATACCAAGGCTTTGAGTGCATCTCCAGCTCCTCACCTCTCCCTTCCCCCCATCGCCTTGCCACCGTGTCCCAGCAGCCTTGTGCTCCCACAGGAAGGGGGAGCATCCATGAGACATGCAAGGGGGACCTGTGGGCTCTGGAGCTGGAGGATGTGTCAGAGCACACCTGAAAGATGCCAGATTCTTTAGAGGAGCAGGAAGGAGAAGGCACTGGAACCAGGGAACAGCCACCTGTATTTTGATGGAAGAGAATGGAGGAGGGAAGGAGGATGATGCAAGGATTGCAGTGCTATGAGCAAGCCTCAGTTTTAAGCCTGAGGGCATGTTGGTGGGTTGGTTGAAGATTGTCAATGCTTAATTACAATTAATCTGAGTGGTGCTTTGTCAAAACACCTGAACATGGCACCCTGCACCCCAGTGTCCACTGGTTATCACTTCGCTTATCCACAAATTCCTGTAATCTGCAGGCACGTGGCTCTTAATTGCTATTATTACCAATTGGCTTTTCTCTCCTGTAATTACACTGTGCTTGCCTAAAGTCTCACACAGTTTTGGGGAGGTGGATGCCTTCTCCTCCCTCCCAAATACGCCATGGGTGCAGCACTCCCCTTTGGCTGCTGCCCGTGTGTCCTCTCTTTCTGGGGGAGCTGAGCCATGAACCTCATACTGAAAACACAGCACAAACCCCCAGGGCCCTGCAATGCCATGGTGGGATCCATAATCCTTCACATGGCAAACCTCCAGTCCAAGTGCAAGGCTCAGATGGAAGACTTGAGCCCAGGAGGGAGCAATAAATCACCCACTAATGGCCAATGCAACATTTGCCCTAATTTAGGGGCTGCTCCAAGAGCTTTGCAGAGCTGGCAAGGCCTGCATCCACGACAGTGTGTCAGACAAGTGCAGGATGAGGCTCTGTCTCAGCTTTCCCTGGGGGAAGGGACTCTTTCTGCCTGTGCCCAGGCTATGGCACAACCCGCATCTCTTCAGCCCAGAGGAGAATTAATTGATTGTTTATTATGGGGGCTGGATAAGATTAATGATGTGCTTAACTATCCATTTCCTCACATTTAGGCACCAGGGGTGTGTTTGTAAATGCTGAGGCACAGAACTCCTCCGTGCTGCTCAGCAGGGAGGATGCTCAGCACTTAACCCCCCCACAATCCAAAGCTGCCCACGGATCCATCATCCTGCCTGCACACTAGGAATGCTGCACATCCCAGGTGTCAGTTTGCCAGCAGGACTCCTTTTCCAGGGTTGACATGTCTGGAGGTGGGAGAGAACATCATTGAGGGGCTGGTAAAACTCAGGCTTCTTGCAGCAAGATGTCATCAGTGGAAATTTGGGGAAAAATAGCTGCAAATTGCTGTCACCTCCAAGGGGTGACTGTAAGGACATGGCCATAGGGCTGGATACAACTGGGACTCCCAGCCAGAGCTGAACCTCTCCTATCCCCCCTCAGAGGCTCAGAGGAGGGATGTGTCACATCTCTCACACAAGGCAAACACCCAGTGAAGGCACCACAAAACCCCTGTCCCATCTGCAAAGCCACCTCCATCTGCAGCTCCCAGAATCACAGAACCTCAGAATCTGAAAATAACAGAATCACGGAACCACAGAATCATGGAGTCACAGAACCTCATAATCTGAGAATAACATAACCACAAAATCTGAGAATAACAGAATCACAGAACCACAGAACTACAAAACATGCCGAGTTGGAAGGGATCCCCAAGGATCATCAATCCAGCTCCTGGCCCTGCACAGACACCCCAACAATCCCACCCTGTGCATCCCTGACAGCATTGTCCAAATGTTCCTGCAGCTCTGGCAGCCTTGGGGCCGTGCCCATTCCCTGGGGAGTCTGGACAGTGCCCAGCAGCAGGATGGATTATGGAACCACTCGTGGCACACAGCAGCACTCTGAGGGCTTTTAACTGCTTAACACTCTCCTGTATCCTGCATCATAGTATTCCAGGTGCCAGGAGTCCTAGAAAGAGCCAGAGATAAGCAGGATCTCTCGGCTCATCCATCCCTGCTCCTGCCCGAGGCAAGCCACCATCACAGCCTCTGTGGAAAGGGTGTAAGTGTGGGGATATTCAAGCATGGGGGCATCCAAGCGTTTCACTCTCAAACTAAATCCTCTCAGCACCTGGAACTTGCACTTTTTAATTACTCTCTCAGGGAAGCTTAAGTCAAAAGAGGAAAAAAAAAAGAAAAAGAAGAAAGGAAGAAAGAAAGGAGACATCGCCTCTACATTAACTTGCTCTAAAACTCCCTGGGGATGCAGACTGGCATTTTTCCTTCTCAGATTTTAAAAAAGGAGCTTCTTTAAGGAATTACAGATTCAGCAGCGATTCAAAGAGCCCTGACCTGCCCCAACTCTCACCAGCACCCAGCAAACCAAGTCAGCAGTGCCTCATGCATCCCATGTCCCTCTGTCCCTGCTGTGGCAGAGCTAACCCCATTTTCCAGATCTCCAAATTCACGCTTGGGTTGGGCTCCCTTTTGGGTCCAGCGCTTTTCCAGGGCACTCCCAGTGTCTTTAAGCACACCTGTGGCACTCTGGCACAGCAGGTGATGAAAAGCTGCGTTAGAAGCAGCAGCACGGCACGAGATGATGCCCTCAAGCAAGCTGGAGGTGTGGAGAGCATTGTCAGGTGCAAAGGCACTAAAGAGCCTGGATGATCCAGCCTTGCTCCAAAAAGAGATGTGGAAGCACCAGCAGCATCCCTGGGAGATGGGCAGCAGGGCTTCAGGACAGCACAGGTCAGGAAAAAAGGAGAAATTGTGGCTCATTGCATTTGCAGCCTGCCAGAAAGAGATTCAAGGCCCCACTTTCTGCAAACAATAGTTTATCTTTAAGAAAAAATACTAGCACCTCAGCCCAACATCTTGTGCACAATGCTTATAATTTTTTGATTAAACTCCCCCAAAAAGGGAGGAGTTGTTTGCTAGAGACCCCTTCTGCTTTTTGTAGACACCACCAACACAGAATCTATCTTTAAATATATTAAAAAATAAAATAAGAAAAAAAAAATCAGTTTTTCAGCCTTCAAGCTGGTTAGCCCCAGAGATGGGTGTTTTGAAATGCTCTCCTTGCCATCCTGCTGTCACCCTGAGCGGCCGAGACGCTGGCTAGGACACCCTCGCAGACACTGTCAGCTGAGAGACACCATCCAGGCAAATAAACACCCACACAAAATCGTGTGCTACAGCAAAGTGTCATCGGGAGGATGCTGTGACTACAGGGGCAGCCACTTAGCACAGCCTCCCAGGGCTCCCACTTGCCCCTTGGGGCAGTGCCAG